GGGGGGGTGGTTAGGGATTTTTTTCTGTTCATTATTGTTGGTCCTCGTTCATGTTCTACTTTTGGAGGAAAGGGTTTTCAGATCACATTTACTTTGGAACTAAATCATTCATTTGCGAGAGCTATGTACATAAGTTTTTCGTTGGTTTCTTTGGGTGTTTTGTTTTTTTCCAAAATATGGTTTCTTGTTTTTTTTTCGCCCAAATATAATTGTCTCCCCTTTCATTTCACGGACTAGGGTGTCTTTCTATTCATTAATTTCGTAAATTGTAATGGTGCTATTCTTAACCACTGTTTTACCGTTCAATAACTAACCCAGATTCCACAAGGCAAAGTCGATCGCATTTTAGTATCTCCGTCTGTCCGCTGGGGCCTTTCTATCCCAGTCGGCGCACGGTTGTCCCTGGCAAGCAAGGTCAACGAAGTCCGCCTCTATAATTTGATGTAAATTGTATCAGTGGGCGCGTAAATCAGTTATACCCGTAACAGTCTGGTTCCTATAGCTAATAACATTTCATGTAACTGTAGTGACTGTAACATTTAATGATTGAGTATATGGACTGAGGGCTAACTCGCAGTATCTTCATGTTTCCTTCCTTGGATAGGATTACTGTGTTGTCATTACGTGGGTGTGCTCTATAGATATCGTCGTGTACCTCCCCACCCCCCCCACCCCACCCCTTTCCTCTCCTCCCCTTTTTTACACATCGTTGTTACTGTTTTGTGTCCTTTATTTCACCATCACATCGTTAATTCTTCACTCAAATTTATATTTGTTGTTTTGGGATTTTTTGGTCTTGGTTGTTTGTTGTTGTTGTTTTTTTTGTTTGTTGCAATTTTGATAGTTGTTATTTTGTTTCGTTTTTTGGGTGTTTTTTTTTTTTATAGATTAGGCAAACTATCGCAGACTAACTAGCCGTATTTTATGTCTGTGATCTGTTGCCCGCTCATAGTTACAGAGTATACGTTATACAACTTTTACAAAGTTTTGTTGTCTTGATGTTGTTATGTCTACTCCAAGGTATTGAATAAA